TTGACAGGTAAAGTAACATGATCACAGGAGTGATAGCCCTTCCTCTTCACAGATTTCTCCTACACTCAGAAGAGGGAATTATACAAAGAGGAGGGTAGCAGGAGCCATTTAAAATTCTGGCTTCCACTCTTATGTATGCATACAATGAACACATGTACTGTACATGGTGTTCTATAGAGTGATTTTGAAACACTAATATGCCATGACGTCTTTCCTGCCTAATAAATATAGATCTGCATTTTTATGGCTGAATAGGGTTCTATTTTGTGTTTCAAAACACTTAACCAGATCTTGGACAGTTAGGTTGCTTCCAATTTTCTCTTCTTGCACATTATGCTAAGAGGAACTTTTTTATGTACAGTCTTGTCTTTGCATTTGTATGATTATTTCCTGTGCACAAATTCAAAGCAAATGGGTTTACAGAATCAAAGGATAAACTAAACCAATGCTGTGAGGTCCCATGTAGCTAGGGTCCCCCAGCAGGGCATGGTGCTATTTTTCTAGTGAAGTTCTGCCTTTGGTGAAGATTCTTGGATCCTTTGTACCAATTCTGCTGAATTATTGGCATCCTTGAAAGGAGTTCTAAAAATTACTAGCTGTCACTGCACGGAACATACGGGAAGTAGCATGAAGTAGAAATGTGTTCTTCACTTGTCATCTCCACCATTATTCCCCAAAAAGTTGTTTCCATCTGAATTAAACAACTATCAATAAAATAGGATCTTTATTTTAATTTCTACCGTGCTTCTTTAGAAAGAGGCAATGAGGAAACTATATCATTTTGAAAGTTCATAATTTTTTTAACTATAAAGGGACACTATACATTCTGACTGTATAGTGAGAACTCAGGTTTCAAATGAAGGCTCTGAGAAAATATAATTGAGTCTTAAGAAGACATGAACCAACAAAGGTTTCATTACACCTACTTTGCTAGATGTCCTCATCATTCATTTAACCAATGCTTAGCAGCCCCTCCTGGTGGCCCGGCCCTGCTCCGGTGCTGGGATGGGGGTGAACAAGACAAGCAGGGCCTCCAAAGTGGATTCGGGTACCCACAAAGAGACTACTGTGGATCTACATAAAGAAGCTTTGAAATAAGAAGTAGCATTTCAGAAATCAGTATATATTTCCCAACCTGGAGAGTCAGTAGATAGAATTAAGAAAAGTCTATACAACAGGAGTAAGTAAGTGTTTGAGATCTAATGCACAGTGTGGTTACTATAGTTAATGACAATGTAGTGTATGTTTCAAAATTGCTAAGACAGTAAACTTCAAATGTTCTCACCACAAAAAAAAGTATGTGAGGTGACAGATATGTTAATCAGCTTGATTTAATCATCTCACAATGTATACATATAGCAAATC